TATAGACTAATATTCCTAAAAGATAATGAGAACTCCTAAAACCTGAGAGAAGAAAAGACCAAAAAAACTTGACAGATGGGCAAACGGTGAGTGCCTGTAGTACCAGCTACTCAGGAGGCTGAGGTGAGAGGATCACTTGAGCCCAGTGGTTCGAGGCCAGCTTGGGCAATACAGCAAGATCTGTCTTTAAAAATTAAAACAAAACTTGACGGAAAAATGGGCAAAAAACAGGAAGAGATTAAAAGTTAAAAAAAAAAAATGGGCCGGGCGCAGTGGCTCAGGCCTATAATCCCAGCACTTTGGGAGGCCGAGGCGGGTGGATCACGAGGTCAAGAGATCGAGACCATCCTGGTCAACATGGTGAAACCCCATCTCTACTAAAAATACAAAAATTAGTTGGGCATGGTGGCGCGTGCCTGTAATCGCAGCTACTCGGAAGGCTGAGGCAGGAGAATTGCTTTAACCCAGGAGGCGGAGGTTGTGGTGAGCCGAGATCGTGCTATTTCACTCCAGCCTGGGTAACGAGAGTGAAACTCTGTCTCAAAAAAAAAAAAAAAATTGACCTTCTACATATGGGAAAAACAGTCCAACTTCACTCATAGTAAGAGAAATGCAAATTACATTTATACTGAGATACTATTTATTATTATCAACTGGCAAAACTTAAAGACACGACAAGCCCCTATGTTGGGAAGGCTGTGGGAAACAAGCATTTTTATGCTATGGAAATGCAAACTGGTATAACTTCCACAGAGGGGAATCTGGCAATGTCTAACAAAGCAAATAATTTACCTTTTGACTTAGCAATTGCACTTCAGGAATCTACACTAAAGACACCTCCAAGGAGACAAAAATAGTTTGTAACTGTTAGAATACTGAAAGCAACCAACATAACCATTCATAAAAGAGTGATTAAATAAACTACGATACATCCACACTATGGTGTTCTATATTGCTGTAAAAAGAATGAGGATTATCTCTACAAAGTGACGTATGGTGATTTCCAGAATACATTGATAGGTGAGGGGGGGGGGGAGTAAAGTACAAAAGAATACTCCAAGAATGTTAAATTTTGTATAAGAAAGGAGAAAGAAAATGTAAACACATCATTTGTATAACAAAGTGCAGAAAAAATGAAACAAAGAGTAATGCAATTGGTTAGCGACAGGGCGTGGGTGGAGATGGAGTTAAAAGGACACAAGGAGAGGAATGTCACTTCTCTGAGTATAACTTTTTGTAGAGTTTTAACTTTGAGAATCATGCTAATGTTTTATATATTCAACCAAAGAGAAGGAAAACCAACAAGGACGAAGAAAAAAACTATAATGGAAGATGAACAGAAACGAATGCACCAAACTGTATTTCAGATGAGTAACATAACCACATGGAAGGGCAGTTGGTGGGGTAGTAATAACCGGCCCAAGGAATTTGTGAATAGAGTATTTAGACTCTAAGTCCCCAGGTATGAATTCCAGGTAGCAGGCTTCTTTCAGTTCGAGTCATGGGTTAGCAATTCTAAATCTATTTTCTGGTTACAGCACTGAACAAATAAGTAAATATAGGTAACAGCAGCTAGATTTCTGTCAGAGAAGTGAGTCAGAAAGAAAAATAGGAAAAGGATAGAATGAACCCTGTAATGGTGGACTAGTGTTAAATGTATCAGCATAAACTCATGCTGTTTAATATAGGCAGATAAATACAAAAACATAACACAGGTACATGTATATACATACGTATACACAAATATCTATTTAGTAAATCTGTCTGTTGATAGGGCATATGGTAGTTCACTGGGCTAACCCTAGTAACCACACATTGATTTCTAATACCATTCTCCACTAAAAAGAGCCAGGATTTCTTGAAGAAATGGCTGATTCCAGGGCTGGGGCAAGGCAAGTACAAGATAAATCTAGAATATTCTGTGCCAGAACATAAAGAAGTACTCAAAGAATGATGAGGGTATCACGAAAGGACACAGGAGCTGGCTTGAAGTGGCTCCCACTGGAAATCTGGGACAATCTGAGCGCCAAAATAACGACAGTAAAGGGTAGTAAATGACAGCCTAACCGGAATCCACTGAATTCTCACCGATATAAACAAAAAAATGGGAGAGCAGAGAAAGATCCTGTTTTTAGCATGAAAAAAAACTAGTAGATACAGAAGGAATAATGAAATTAGAAAATCATAATTGACTCATAAAAGATTATGCCAGATCTAGTGGGTTTAAGTTTAATGAGTAACAGAATATTTCCATCATTTTAAAAAGTCTCCCCATCAAACATGTATTGATTATAAAGAGCAGCATACAGTGTAGAAACCTGGGAAACATCACCTTAGCCAAAATGTCAACGTTCACAGCACCAGTAACGGGACAAATCAATCTCATGTTCCATGATATGATACACTAGGAGTATCGCTTCTATGACATTCTTGCCAAAAGTCTGTCACTGGAATCTAATCATGAGGAAGCATCCGATAAACATCCCAGGAAATAATCAGCCCATACACTTTAAACGTGTGAACATCAGAAACAAAGAGAGACCAATGAACTCTCTTCTCTTTTAATGCCTGTCTTCTAAAGGGGCACTGAGGAAAGATGATATAGGAGGAAAAAAAAAAAAAGATTCGGTATCACTATCATATCACTGAAATCTTGATGCCCACAATGTATTTGTTCTGTCCTCTAATTCTCTGCAGACTTATCTTAACTGGAATGTTAAATGACTATTCTTGAATTATCTTCATCTCTCTGCAATATGTTAAGAAACTCTTCTACCATTAACCATAGGCTGCTACCAAATGGAGGACCAGTGGGTATATGGTAGGTGTGATAGGGGAAGGGTGGGTACAACCTGAAGCCCAACTGGAACCACCATCACTCAGGCTCCTTGACCTTTCTGCAGCTTTCCATCCAACCATGAGAAGAGAAAAAGAGGAAAAGGCAATGGAAATGAGGGAAAGCTGAGATTCATTAAATACCTATTACACTAAACACTGCAGCATACTACTTCATGTAACCCTCAGACCGTACAGAAACTGAGTTTGAAGTCTGAGCAGGTTCAACAGTTTGTAGAAAAAGAACTCTAAGCAAGTAACTCCTGGAACTTTGACCAAAACCCAGTGAGTGATTTAAAACCTGTGCTCAAAATATTCCCCATGCCACTCTTCCTCGCTAGCAACAGTACCACCGTGAATTGTCTAAATATATAATTCTCCTGCCTTATTTTAAGAAGACCACCTTTCTTTATTGGAATTTTCAAAATTACACAAAAGTAGAAAGAAGAGGTGGTAGCAATTCCCATCTGCCCATTACTCAACTCCACCAATAGGCCCTTGTTTCTCCTATCCTTGTCCCTATTTCTGGAATACTTAAAAATAAACCCTAGACACTTGAACTTCTGAATGTCTCTAACAAATCAGAACTTAAAAATAATTTTAACATTACTACATCTAAAACATTTACTATCATTGAATGCCCAATGCTTCACATTTCTCTGATAATCTTAAAAATACTTTTAGAGGTTAGCTTAAATCAAGATCCTAGCAAAGTCTACATATTACTTTAGGAAGATGGGTTGCAATGTAGACCAGTTCCCTTCCCCCTCTTCCTGTTTTTTTTTTTTAATGCTATTTATATGTTGAAGAAACTAGGTCATTTGTTCTACGGAATTTCTTATATCCTGAATCTAGTCCTTATAGTCAACAGAATTGTATTTCTCTATCTCCTTTACTTCCCGTAAAGTGTTAGAGGCGTGACCAAACTGTGGTTCACCTCTTCTCATTGTTTAAAGAATGCTCAGGTGGTACTGTCTGCTCTCTACTGCATCTGCAGGAGACATTTACTATCCAGTTGTCTTCTATTAGGATTAATATTACAATAGTTTTTCTACATCCTCAGGTGATTTGTGTTCTTAAAACCTTGTTCAACACCATATATTCACGTAACATGCACACGATGCTCAAGCCACCACGTTTACCAAGAGGTGACTGAGAAACCGCAAAGTTTATCATTCAGCAGCCTAGGAAAGAGGGCAGAAATTTTTCCTCTGGTAGATAAGAGGCCAAAAAGTAAAGAAGAGATGAAGGATTTGGCTAGAGATGAAGAGGAGGCCAGAGAATGAACACAGTATAGCATTAAAATGTTTCTAAATAAACTTACAGAGAATTCTTAATTTTATAATGTTAGTTCACCTAAAAAGTCTTACAAATTTTTTCATCTTTCTTGCGTAAGAAAAATACTGACACCTAAATCAAAGGTTTTTAACCTTTACTGCAAAAGAGATTTTCCCAGGAAGCTTTTAAGATACTGAGGACTGGGTTCCACCTAACCAATTCTGATTCAACTGGTCTAGGATGGTAACTGGGTTTATGGTACTGCTTACTGCTTGGGGGGCTCTAATATGCAGCTATAATTGAGACCACTGCTCTTAATCAAGAACAACAACGATGGCAACTAACATTTACTAAGCAGATATTATGTGTTAAGTAGTGCTCACTGTTCTAAGCATGTTACCCATACTAGTTCATTCCCTGTATTTTTTACAAGGTAAAAAACTGAGAGGTCAGGTAATCTGGCCAAAATCACATATCAAGCTGATGAGAGTTTTGCTTTAATCCCAGGAAGTTTGGATCCAAAACCCACGCTTTAAATCACCATGCTATACTGTCTCCTAAGCGTGAATTATATTTTTATTCTTCAACTGCAACTAAAACTATGAAAGAAAAACATTTTTAAAAAAGATAATTTCCTCCTTCTTAGTAGTACAGTGGCATCTTGGGAAACAGTACCAATATGTGTTTATTAGGAAAATAAATAAAGTAAACAGACAAGAGTCTTCTCTTCCCAAAAGATTCCAATTCAAAATTTCCACACGTATTCAATAATTTTCCCACACAGCACCTTACATGGCACAGTTATTTAATGTTAATATCGAAAAATACATAATTGAGGCAATGATGTATTTACATGTACATTTACAAAAAAAAAAAAAAAGTCCTACCTATTTCAGTTCTGCCGACTCCAATTCCGTTATAAATTCTCAAGTAATTAAAGTGACAAGCATCAGAATCTTCAATGTCAAAGTCACCAAATTTGATGCGAACTCTCTCTCCCATCTTTACACGGATCTCCCATTCACAAACAGTGCTGTTGGGATAGGTTTGTGGGTAGTTTATGGATGTAAGGGTTCCACTCTCAGGACCTAGTACAGTGTGTCCACATCCATCACCTTTAAAAAAAAATTAAAAGAATGATAAATTATTCTCACATCTTTAACTTTCACAATAATAATGGTTTTTTGTCAAGATTTAAAAATATGTATGACATCAAATAATTTATACCACCTGTATGTTCTGTTTTAATTTTTTAAATGGACAAATAATTGTACATACTCATGGGGTTCGCAGTGATGCTCTGATAAATATAATGTATAGGGATCAGATCAGGACAATTAGCAAATGAATCATCTTAAAAATTTATCATTTGTTTGTGTTACCTGAAACTATATAATATTGTTAACTAAAGCCACCCTGAAGTGGTAGATTCCTCCTATCTAGCTGCAACTTTGTATCCTTTAACAAATCACAAGAACTGACATCACTCTTACTGTATCTATCACAGGAGCCAAGAGAAGTCAAGTTCGGTCAAAATAATCAGCAGTTACCTATGTAAGTTCAAGGAGATTTCAATTCTGAACAAATAAAAGTAAATATGAATTAGTAGTCATTAAATACACATATACATGTTATGAAAAATCCAGTCTTCAGAAGAACAGCAACTTAAGAGTAATTGTTCAAAAAGTGAATGTAAAATATAAAAATACGTGATCAGCTTCAATTTACAAATCATGAACTAAAATATCTGTGAGAAGCTGATTATTTCTAAAAAAAATACCAAATACATACTAGCAATTATGCAGATTACTGACTGTATTACAGATTACAAGGCACTCCTTCTTGAAGTCATTAATGCAATATTTAATGAAGTTCAATTATATATTTACTGAAATCGGACTTTTTACTAGTCCCTCCTGCATACCTTATTTTTTTCCCTATAGAATAAGGGAAAAGTAACAGTTTAATGGCCTATTAAAAATGAGAAAAAAATGACCTTCACATCTTGGCAGCGGCATTATTTGCTCCAGAAATTTATTCAGCAGCTAGATACAGAAACTTAAATAACAACATATTTGTAAAAATGAAATATTTGCCCTCTTTATCAGAATGTTTGTATTTTGTTTTTACTGAGCACCCAGAAGGAAAAATTAATGTTCATTCAGAAGTTTCAGTAGCTGCTCCAATTGTACTGTTCAGCACTCCGTAACAATGAGAGTCAAACACATCTTTTTAGTAGGATGATGACTATATCCTTTTAAAATAATAGCATTTTGTCCTTCCAGAGAGTTATATGTGAATCACCTTTTGGAACAGCGCAGCGCTTACACTACAACTCTATTGGAAGTAACAGTGCCGAGTTTCAGACTCACTATGAACACAGAGGGCTGTAACAGAACCTTCTATCTTATTTTTAAGAATAATGCAGTACTAACATTTGCTAGAGAAGATGAAAGCTTTTCTAGTAATGTCTACGACTTTGCAGTGGCAGACTGTCACACTTAAGGTATTCCCCACAGGCTATTATTCAACTTAACGTTGTCATTTAAAAATGAATTTTACAAAGAGTACAAACAGAATGTTAGGAGTAATTTTTAGATGTCTTATGCTCATGTTGGGTTCTAAATAAATACACAAAACATTTATTGCCCTTTCCAACACGAAGGATAACTTCTACAAAAGTTAACAAAAGAAATATTAACTGATAAAAAACAGGACTTTTGCATGCATGCTGATGAAGAACAACAGAGTTGTCTTTTTTCAGAATCTTGTGTAGGGGGAGGGCAGGAACAGTCCACGAGTAACGTGCCAAGAATGCTCTAAAATATGTGATGGAGTTTGGAGCTTCTTCCTCTTGCAAGCAAGATGATATGCACCAGAAACTAGTTAACAACAGGTCTCCAATCTACAGCAATGAACAAGTTTGAATGTTTTGTATCTCAAAAAATATTTGACAAGTTTAACCTGACTGTGTAAATAGCTTAACTAAGAACCTACTGCTATGAAGTATATGTTTAGAAGATTCCAGTTCAAAAGGGAAGGCTAGGCATATATTTATTCGTATGTTTTTCTCTTATTCCACAAGAAATACCTTGTACATTGTGACCCTATACACTCTGCATGCATGCTCATGACCCACTAAAGTGTTTCATGACCCCCTAATAGGTCCCCAGCTGCAATCTGAAAAACACTGTGCTAGGCAGCAAAGGTCTTAACACTGAATCTGCAAATCAAGGAAAGACCTTGTTCTCATTTTCACCCCTAAATGACTAATGTGTTTCCAGTTTCTTTTTACATAAGATACACCAAGATACTTAAAATACAACAAAGTATTTAAAAGTGGAACTAAAATTGATCAACCAATTACTATCTAACACACTTAAGAGTAGTGATTCTCAAAAGGGGGTTGCAGGACAGTGGGGAAGAGTTCCCCACAGAAGCAACTTTACCTCCCATTTGGCAGTGTCTTGAGACATTTTTCGTTGTCACAACTGGACGGGGAGGAGCGTTATTGGCATCTAGTAGGAAGAGACCAGAAAAGCTGCTAAAACGTCTTATGCACAGGACAGTCCCCCAGAACAAAGAAGGATCAACCTTAACGGTGAATAGTGCTGAGGTTAAGTACCGACTTAGAGTCAAAGCTAGACTATCTCAGAAAACAAGACCTGGTTTAATTCTTGGCTAGGTTCCATTTGGCCCAAAGGGTAATGCTTTTCTATTCACTAAGGGAACAGTTTTCCCCCAAAGATCAGCACTTACACTAAAGAGTTTTATGTTCCCACTTTCCAATTTTTAAAAAGTTAAATGTAATGCTTTATTTTCATTTACATTAAAGAAGAACGATTATTTTTGTTAGTCTACAGACCCCAAATGATATTTTTTTCTGGGTCAGGAAGATCTTAACATTAGGAGGGAAAGCGAGCTAACAGTAATCATTCCTGACTGCTGTGAATTCTGAGTAGCTCTGTACACAGGGAAGAATAATGATCTGTGACCAGGCTACATCACCTACTATTACTCATTCTCACAAGGCAGAATTGACAAAGAGCATAACTACTACTGGAAAAACAACGTTCACAGGACCAATCCATACATTCTCACCAACAACTCCAACTTCACCAACTTCTGCTCCTCCAAACTCCACCAGCACTATCAATGACAGCTTCTCTTTCTCCTCCTCCTTCCCCACATGGTCTGCACCAGACTAAGACTGATCACAAAGGGTAGAAGCCTATTAACATAATTTTTGAATTTTAATTTTATTTCAATGAAGACAAAACACTGGAATCTGATCTTACTGCTTCTTTGGCTGCACATTTCTCTAGGGAATTACTCATAGAACATGTGTTCACTTCCTCTGAAGAGTGTAAGGTCAGATGTGTTCAGCCAGATACAAATTTTGTTATTATTCCAGGAAAAGAACTTTTTTTTTTTTTTACTACTTATCCCTAGAGAAAAGAGAAAGAAATTGAACATATTTAAATGACAACGACTTAATATAACAAAAGACTGCATGCTTTTTTTAGGTCACTCTAATTAAGCTCCAAATCCAAGTGTGTTTTCTGTTTAAGTACGTGTTTGTGATGCTGACTCCATATGACCTTTCAGCCACCCCCAGATTTTAGCCATATTACTAGTAAGCTGTATTAATTATATATATATAATATATATATAACTGAATTTTAATAATATGAACATTGTGATTTCCAAAATTATTTGCTTTAACAGCAAATACAAATGCAGGATATGCTTGCACAACTATACCAAAAATGTAGAGCAAAGATTTAAACTTTTCCAATGAGGTTTCAAGGTTTTGTTTGGTTTTTTTTTGTTTGTTTTTTGGTGTATTGGTGAGTCTGACTATACTTGCTCTAAGTAAGTGTCACTTCAGTCGCGTAATACATCTGTGAGATCTTAAAATGAGAAAGCACGGAGCTCTTAGGGAGCAGAAAAGTGTTCAGAAGCGTAAGCTGCAACTGTTAACTAATTCATCTGATTTCATTTGGTTACAAAAAAGTTTTAAATATATTATTTTAGACCAGAAGTACTATATCAACCTTAAAATTGTGAGGTTTGTTAAGCTGCATCACTACGAATCTTAAATAATTCAAGGTACTACTTTAATTTCACTTAATTTTTTAATGTCTTTTTTAACTCTGGCAATTTTCCTTGTACTGAAGTTTTGTCTGAAATTAATACAGCAACTGCAGTTTTCTTTCATGTTGACAAAGCATATCTCTTTCTCCATCCCTAGTTTTTAAACTGTGGTAAAATATATATAACATAAATTCAGTATTTTAAACATATTTCACTTTTTTTTCCCTACCCATATTTCACTTTTTAAAGCAGCTTTAGGTTCATCATAAAACTGAGTAGGATGGCCGGGTGCGGTGGCTCAAGCCTGTAATCCCAGCACTTTGGGAGGCCGAGGTGGGTGGATCACGAGGTCGAGAGATCGAGACCATCCTGGTCAACATGGTGAAACCCCGTCTCTACTAAAAATACAAAAAATTAGCTGGGCATGGTGGCGCGTGCCTGTAATCCCAGCTACTCAGGAGGCTGAGGCAGGAGAATTGCTTGAACCCAGGAGGCGGAGGTTGCGGTGAGCCAAGATCGCGCCATTGCACTCCAGCCTGGGTAACAAGAGCGAAACTCCGTCTCAAAAAAAAAAAAAAAAAAAAAACTGAGTAGGAAGAACAGATATTTGTCATTTATCCCTTGCCCCTACACTTGCATAGCCTCCTTCATTATTAACATTCCGAAGTAAACTGATAGATTTGTTAACATTGATGAATCTATACTGACATCATTACTACTCCGCGTCCACAGTTCATAATAGGGTTCACCCCTGGTGTACATTCTATCAGTTTGGACAAACATATGACAGGTACCCACCACTGCAGTATCATACAGAGTAGTTTCGCTGCCCTAAAAATTCCATGTTCCACCTCCTCATCTTTCCCTCCCCGCCAAAACCCTGGCAACCACTGATCTTTTTAGGATCTCTCTAGTTTTGCCTTTTCCAGAGCATCATATAGTTGGAATCACACAGTCTGTAGCCTTTTTGGATTGGCTTCTTAGCAGAATGTATTTAAGCTTCCTCCATGGTTTTTTA